GTAGTACCATTATAAATCGTTAATTGCATAATTGATCTCAAGATTTTCATTATCCTCCCTTTTCACAAAGATCTTAATTCAATACAAAATATATATATTTTTTAAAAATGGATGGAGTAAATTTTTTTGAGTGTCAGAGAATTATACGAATTTTCCTTTCTAAAATATAAATCATATATATATATATATATATTTGTCATACAAATGTTATAGCCTCAAAATTCATCGTGAAAGTTGAAAAAAGATTCTCTGTGTGTGTGTGTGTGTGTGTTCCCATTTCATTCAAGGGATTCAAACGAGGAAGAGATACATATATAATGAGGAAGAAACAGAAAAAAAAAGTTGGATGGGAGTCATCAAAGTTTGTTTGCTGAGGTTTTTCAGGGTTTGTTGATATGTTACTCATATGGGGTTTTCTACTTTTCTTGAGGGAGATGAAATAATTATAAAAGGTATGTATGGTTTTCATTATAAAGACACTTAATTTGGAGAAAACCCTTTTTATTTTTATGGCCATATATGTAAGTTAAGGAAAGTCTTTAAACTTAAACTCTTGAAAGCTATTCCAAACCTTTCTATTTATATTTGCTTCAACTAATCTTCATCATAGAATTGATGGGAGGAAGATAATTACCCTTTATCAGCTGATTAGAGACGGCAAATTTTACCTCGCTCTCTATCTATCAAATCGAAGACTAAATCACAAGACCTTACTATGGTGAGAATTTTAATTAATATGTTAATAACAATCCATTTAATTAGTTGGTGATTATAGGAGCCTATAGTATATAAGAGAGGCAATGAAGATGGAGATTACAATTAATATTATTACTACTGTTATTACTATTTTGTACTCTTAGGAGAAAAAATGATAGTTGTTGAAGGAATATGCAATAGTACTCAAGATGAATATATCACTGCTTTTTAGGGTTGCTGATTTGGAGTGATAGATTTAAAATTACTGTAAAAGATTTCTAAAAAAAAAAATTATTTCCAAAATTAATGCTTTATACTTCCACCAATGTCATCTTGCCATGTTGGTTCAAGTTTCAAGTTCACCGATGACCGACATACATGTTTGTTATAATACACTCTTTTTGTCCCAAAATGATTATATAATGTATATTCTTTACAATTTTTATTTTTAAAGTATATAAATTGTAGTAAATGTGACAATCTAAATTGGATAAATCATTTCAGGACGGACTGTAATGAACAAATAAAACAAGAAGTTTGGATGAATTAGAGTTCTAGTTAATTAGTTAACTACAATACATACATGATCAACCGTTCTGTATGAGATGTTTGTCTAAACAAATTGTTAGATCGAATAGATCAGAATAGTTTCATCCATGGCCTTCGCAACGGTTTGATTTGTAGTTTTTTTTATTGTTATAATTGTCGCTGCACAATTTCGAATGAAACTATGTAAAAAAAATCTACATTTCTACTTTAAAGTTGTGCAAGGAAATTTACTAAGGTAATTAATGTGTAAAATACAGTAAGGTAGACTTAGACAACAAATGCATGATTGCATATTGTCATAACCTCATAGTTGTGCATTATATGGATATTCTTAATCATACATAAAATTAAGCCAATTTTAGTGCTATATGTTGTGGCTTAAGCCAAAAGCTTAATTTGTAGCCAATGACTTGCAAACATCCAGTACCCCAACTAGTTTTCATGTCCAGAGGTCGATATTTGCTTTCAGTTTTTACAAGATTTAATAAAAAAATGGTTTTTTTTCCCCTTCTTTCTAGTAGAGTATGGAAAACCTCATATCTTCAAGTACCACAATATTAGATAAACGTATAGCATTGGATGAGATGGTTAAACTTTTAGGTTGAGAGATTATTATCATCATTTTATTATTGTTAAGATTCTCGTCAAAACATTATAATCTTCAGTTAGAAAAGAATAGGTACATCTAAAAAATTAAAAAAAAATAGTTACATCTATTTTTTAAAATTTATTTTTCGTTAAAATTTCCAATTAATAATTAGCTTTTGCAACTTCAAAAATGACAAACTATATTAAGGGCAAGCTAAAATTCCCAATATACCAGTTTTATTGCATAATCCCTGAAGAGGGAAAAGAAAAACCTTCTGTAACTTACTGTTCTCATAATCTTTTATAACTTTCTCACAAAAATTAATTAAAATAATATTTTCCAGTTAAGAGAAAAAGTCCCAAGTCGAGTCAGAGTTTTAAAAGGTGACAGGCATAAATGTATCTATCGTTTTTAATTTACAAATTACAGTTAGATACCGATTTAACACCCACCGTTGGAGATGTCTTGTTTACTTGATTAATGTTTGATGTTAATGGATAATCTATTTTAATTAAATTTATTTGCATATATACAAGTGTTTGATTTCGTGGGGCATGGAATAATCAGTCAGTTAAGAAATCAATATTTTATATCATATGCATTTCAATTACAAACTCTCTATCTGATGAGGGTTATTATTTGACTACCCATCTGCATGAAAATAGAATTTATATGATACTCTTCTAATCTCATTTTATTATCTTAGTTTAATATTAAACTAAATCAATATAATAAATACATTATTAAAATAGGACGAAAAGAGTGAATTTTTTTTATTTTTTATTTTTTTAATTTTCGGGGTAACCGCAGATAATGGGTTGCTTAGTTTTTCCAAGTGGAATTACAGGTAGCATCTGAATTGTTGATGCCGTACCTTCTCCACCATATTGATTAGCTCTTTTGGTTACGTTTCTTTTTTTTCTTTGTTTGTTTGTTTGTTTTGTTTTTGTTTTTGTTTTTTTTTTTTTCTCGTTTTGGTTTTCCTCCTTTCTTGAGTTTTTTCTTGTGTGTTGTCGCAGGCGATGGTGACATGAATGTTGTTACTTTTCTTTATTCCGGTTAGCTCTTGAAATACAATTTTTTCTTCTTGATTTTGTGAATTCACCATCAACTAATATTGCTTGGGATGAGGTATGATTTACTTTTAGAGTAAATTGTAATTCTTGTTCACAATTTTATGCAAATTTAGATGGAAAAGAAGCCAGTTAGCTTGGTTTTCGACAAGGGTATTTTTTATGTATTTTTTTCCCAATGTAACTAGCTTTCTTGTTTTCTTAAACAGAAAAATAATGAAATTGATCTTCAACTCGCCCAACAAACAAAACTATAAATGCATAAAGGAAGGTAATTAGTTTTAGCTTCTTTCAATTCTATTAGTTTATTATGACCCGCATAATATTTTTTTTGTGACACTTTTGGTTACAATTCTTTAGTAAGAGTTCATTTTTTACTACTCATCTAATCACTTAACATGCAAAGTTTATGTAAATTTTTAATCAACATCGCCGAACGTAAAAAAAAAAAAAATACAAATCATTCTAATCGAAAATAACCGATGGTTTAAATTCTATTCTTTGAAATCATAAACATATATTTCTTCCGACCCAAAATTATGTCTAATTTAAAATTTTATTTTTAATTCAACTTATACTAATAATAAAAATTTGAATAGGAAAATCATTTTGGAAGGGAGAGCATTTATAAACTCGTAACATGATGTGTATGAAGCATTTGGAACGTTAGAAATACAAAGAAAAGATGCATGTGCATGAAGTATCCTCTTAAATCTTAATTAATCATTTTTTCGAATGTCCGTTACTGCGTGGGAAATAAGTGAAATAAATTCACCTGAGACAAAGAAGATGTTAAGTAAACTGGCGACTTATTGTGTTTAGTCCTTTAATTTGATCCGTTTTCGTTTTTAGGGTTTGTCGACTCAACGAAACAAAGAAAGCTCTAAGCTTTTTCTTTTGCTTTGTTCTTTTTTTCCTCCTTTTATATTTGCAAGATGTCTGCGGTTCATAAAAGTAATTATAATTACACTCTTATTATAATATAATAGTAGGCATCTTGATGTTCAGAACAGCTAGTCAAAAAAGGTTAATTATTACATAGTCATGGTGAGTTTTGAACCATCGACCTATTGTTAAGTATGGAGGAAATTTTTCACTCAACCATAACTGTTTTTGTTAATTCTAAATTTTTTTAATTATTAAAATACTCCACTCATCTTATAAAAATATTTCATATTTTAATGGAACAGAGAGTGAATAGTGCTTTCAATAAAAACAAAATCCAATTACCAAAAATAAAATCCTTCATGTAATTAATGACCCGCAAACTACACGAGGGAATTAAATCACCCTAAATAGAACTTAGCTTGGTAGCAACTAGGAACAAGCTGAACTAGGAATCGTTGGATTTTTTTTTTATTTATTTATTTTTTTTCTCCAGTGTTGTTACGGATCACAAATTTAGTTTTCGTATACGGTTTCTTCAAATGGTTAATTTAGTTTGGCCTCTACTCTCTGGAGAAAGTTTCATTAATTAATTCTAGCCTCTTAACTATAGTTAGATGTTGTTGTTGACCTCATAAGAAATGAATGAGGGGAAAAAAGAGAAGGAAAAATAAATTAAATATGTTAATTAGGTTACGTTTGTTAATTTCATATGGAGGAGGACATGCAAGTCGTAGGTTTTAGTTGCATATTTTCAGCACACCAATTGGGACAATTCTTGATGGTACTCAGTAACTATAATACCAAATGATAATACTATCATAGCAGCAATATGCACTTTCTACGAAATCTCTGAGAATTAAAGATATATACTGCAGGTAGGTAAATGATGCAGAAGATTAAGCCAATAGCAGAACACAAGTAAAGGTAGCTCACAAATTCATTAAATCATATGTGTCTCATTTAGTTAGCGATCGTCGATGATGATTTATTCTGGTAATTTATTATTTTCAAATACATATAAATTTTATTTATTGCCCTTTTCTAGATTTCGGATTATTGATATAATAATCAGAACAATATATGTGTGGTTATCATTTTTTTCTTAATCTCAATTATTAGTTAGACGTGATATGAATCTCAATAATCGAATTTCCAAACACTAATTGTGAAAAATGAATGACGTGCTATTACCATAAGATAAATAAGGTACTCGAAATAATTGTGAAATTTGAATTTGAAAAATAATTCTTACATAATAAGTGCGACAGATTATCTCATTGCTTTATCTACAACTACATATAAAGACACTCTACATTTCTTTCTTTCTCTACAGCAACTAATTACATAAAAACTCACTCTCCATTTTTTTCTTGCAAAACCACCAAAAGTGACTGCTCATCCACACCTCAAAAACTAACCAACCCACTTTGATTCTTTTTTGGGATGCCTTTTTCTTCTTCCTTTTATATACCTTTCTAGCCCTCTTCACTTCTTCTGTGTTTGTTGATTCTCCAAATTTTACCTCAAGAACTGTTAATTTCTAGCAACATAAATTAAAGTTTATCATAGTTCCTCAAGGCGGCTATGGATGAATCAGGAGGTGGCGCAACGTCCGGCGATGAGGCTAGAACTTGCCCTAGAGGACATTGGAGGCCTGCAGAGGATGAGAGATTAAGGCAGCTTGTTGAACAATATGGTCCTCAGAATTGGAATTCCATTGCTGAAAAACTTCAAGGAAGATCAGGTAATTAATATACAGTTTATATAAATTTTTCTAGTCCATGAAACACATGATGGGATTCTTTTTTTCCCTTTTTAAAGCATGATCATTTAATTTGGACATACAAATAATAAAATGAATTTGCTAGATTCTTGGTTGGAAGTTTCAGGATGAAATCTCTAGTATTTAATTTTTACGCCTTTTTTACGGCAACAATTAACCCTATATTTATTATTTGATTAATTTATTAAACTCAAACTCTTTCTTTTTTTCATCATCTTGAAGTTCATTATTTAGTTAGAAGGTTAGTTATATAATTTATTATGAGAAATCCCATAGTATGGTTGCATAGAGAGAAATGAAGAGTAAGTTGATTGAAATTTCTAACCCTTCTATTTTTGGTGGGGGGGCAGGGAAGAGTTGCAGGTTGAGATGGTTTAATCAACTTGATCCAAGAATTAATAGAAGACCTTTTACTGAAGAAGAAGAAGAAAGACTACTTAGGGCTCATGAAATTCATGGAAATAAATGGGCACTTATATCTAGGTTATTCCCAGGTAGAACTGATAATGCTGTGAAGAATCATTGGCATGTTATAATGGCTAGGAAGCAAAGGGAACAATCCAAGGTTTGTGGCAAAAGAGGTTATAATAACCATGATCAACAACATCATGGTCACGAAATTCGACGAAAAATCGCTAAGAACATCAACAATGAAGATTATGGTACTAAATTAAGCTTTGAGGATCCCATGATCAATAGGATTTTTTCAGTCTCCACAAGTACTAGTTCATCATCTCCAACCTGGGGTTTTATGAGACCGGGTTTTTCGGACAAAAGCAACTCAGTTTCAGTTGATTTATGGGGGAGAAAATGCATGACGGCTGACCAGTTTCGCCATTCTTACATAAATCCACCATTAATGTTTGGTGGAAATGGAAATTTAGGGTTGGCATTGGATTTTCGGGGCTGCAAAAGGGCAGGTTTAAGCCCTAATTTTCGATTCGCCGGACATAGTATCCATGAAAACGAAGTCAAGGAGAAGTTTAAGGCCACCATTGTTGTTGATCAGCAACAACATCAAGTAGATGAATCCATGGACAAGAAAGATATTCCACTCATTGATTTTCTTGGTGTGGGAATCTCTTGATCAATTAATTAGCCAGTATCAATTTTGGTTAGTGTTTTTTTCTCCCTCCTTAGATTTTTGGTTTTGCAAAATTGGTGGTTCACATATTGCATTTTCTAAGGAAAATGTAGATTTAGATGTTTAAGTTAAAATTTATTATATTTAGGTTAGTTAGTAACTATACATATCTTTTTTTCTTCTTAGAAAAAAGAAAAAAAAGGCTTGTTGAACCATGAATTGGTGGTGGTATATTATTCTCGTGGATTGATTTTAGTGACAAGAAAGTTTAGAGTAGTTTGGTTAAGGTTTTGTGTTGTTATTAAGCAATGTAATATTCTTGCAAATGCTTGTTTTCAAGTTAGAGATATGTAAGAAGTTTTAAGTTACGTGATTGGGAGATTTTTTAATTTGAAGTTGATTACACCTTTTTTTTTTTTTTTTGCTTTGAATCTTGTAAAACATTAATTTTAGGTGAAGATTTGAAATTAATCAATCAACGCTTTAGGCTTTAGCCATCGGCATGTTCAGTTTTTTGTTGTAATGAAGTGATCATCCATAACTAAATTGATGGTAAATCAACTCAACCATTTGGGTTAAGTTTCTATTGCCCCCAAAATAATTTTTATGTTCATTATACTATTGAACACGGTAAATATAATACTCATTTTGACATAAAGGATAATGTATTTTGTCCTTCTACACGATCTTTTTAGAATTAAATTGTATATTTTGATGCAAGCATTTTTCATAGTTAAATTGTTCTTTAGATAGTCACAAACAGAAAAATATATAAACAACATTTTTTCTTTTTGTAGTATTTTTATAAATGTCTGTTGAGATTGAATTGCATCATTTTCAGAAGATAGAAATTTTAACAAGTTTCTTAGAAAACAAGAAGCTGTTGCGTTCTACCGACAGCTATGTTCAACATGCAATCGATAGTTACAAGCGCAGCTACAAAAATTGATGCAAAAGACGCTAAATTTATTCATGTGCACATATTATACACATTTCACGACTACATTATTAATCATCTTGAAAAATTGACGCACAAAGTCGGTTAATGTTGTTTCCGGTACGATCTGTTTACCACAATTTTAACATCGGGAAATTCCCCGTACCACGAATGAGACAATAATCTTTTTTCACATACTTACAGACTCTCATCTCACCCTAATTAAACATGATTTTATCCATCAAGATCCAAAATGCGGACTTAAAATTTTACTAGTCTTCTCGATATGGAATTACATGTGCAAAATGTTTTCCAAAAAAAAATAAAAAAGAAAAAAAAAGAAATTTTAATTAACACATAATAGTAACATATTCTCTACCAGCAGATGTTTTATTTTATATACACTCTACAAAGATGTCTAATCTCGGAATCATACAGTTCAAAGGGAAATTTATTTTATTTTATTTATTATTATTATTTTTTTTGTTTTGGCGATTTGATTTTGGCTTTCTGGGCATCCTACTACCAAATTGTCCTTGGAAGTGAAAATGGAGTTTCTTTTTGGTTAAATTTTTTGTGAATATATTTTTCGTACCGTTCTAATTAATAAATCCGTGCATACGTAGCCATTGATAGTCATCACTCCTCATTAGTAAATTATAAAATATATGTACTGTGCGAGCATTAATTAAAAGATTTCTCACTACATTACATGTGTTACTATGGAAACAAAGATTTATGATACACATTATAGATTTTTGATTAATATTTTAGTCAACCTTATTTATACTCCCTCCGTCCCATAATTATTGTCCTGTTTGAGTTTTTATTTTTAGTTCAAATTGTACTAAAAGTGAAAACCTAAACTGGACAATAATTATGGGACGGAGGGAGTAAATTATAAGATACAAATTTGGTTGACACTTATTTCGTCAATAATCAATGGCTACGCACCATTCAGTTTAGTGAACATCATTTTCACTTGTTTTTTTTTTTTTTAATCAATAGTGGTTCTCACTGACCCCCGCATGACTCGAATCCGTGACCTATTAATCAACAAGTGATGCGTCTTATCACTGTATCGTTGTCACTTGTCATTTTTAGTCTAGATTGTTATTTTAGATTGATTTTAGTCATTAATTATACATCAAGCTAGCTATATTCTTTAGACCAATAATTTACTTAACTTTAACAATATATTTTTAATCGGGCTTTTTTCTTTCCATTTGTATTGAACTTGTATGAATCGGTTAGCCTCTGAATCTTTATGTCCAACTTGATATATATATATATATATATATATATATATATTTGGGAGAAACTCAATTTCATTAATCAAAGAAAACAATGTTAAAAATTTCAACGCCAAGTCGAAAGAAATTAATCATTATCAGGCGAGGACTGGTGAAGATTCACACTATCAATAGTAAAGACGCATCAACAACCATAAAGTTTTCCACAAACTTCTCACTTCTCGCATTTGTAAACTTCATTTCTGATTAAGTGTGGAAAATAGCAATAGTAAGGCTCTATAATTAGTTTCATTTTCTTTTCATTTTACCGGAAATGTGGATCATTTTATAGTTAACTAACTCACTGTGGTGATTTGAAAGTTCTTATACTACTACTATTATTTAACTAAACGCTTGTGAATGCTGACGGATGTTCTACATTCAAAAAAAAAAAAAAGAAATAAAGAGAGCAATTCTTTGGAAATGGAAATTTATTCGTCAACACTTGTTTCTAATTATGTTTGCGGATGTAATAAAATGATTAGAGCCTAAGTTTTTAATATCTATCACATAGGAGTGTTAATAAATGTTGTTATTAGATTAGTTTTAATATCACGATTTAATTCTCCGATTTGAATTTGTATTTTTAGGATTCTCTTTGTTCTAAAATAATTATTTAATTTGGATTTTCACTTTTAGTTCAATTTGTATTAAAAATGAAAATTCAAACTGAACAATAATTTTAGAAAGGAGAAGTATAATTTGTATTAGTATTGAAATCCATAACAGGCGTTTCAAAAAAAAAAAAAATCCATATTAGATACTTATTTTGAAACGGAACAAGTCACGTAGATTAATGGTGTCAATTTATTCATTACTCTAAACGATAGTGGAGTAGTACTTAATGTTATAAATTAAAATAAAATCTAGTTTAACCACGTGTCGCAGGTGATACGAGTATACGAGTAAGCTCGGCTAAGTATAAAGTATAAACACACCGCCGATTTCTGCATATCACCAAAGTTCACAAGTTTATTCAGCTGATTGATACATTTTTCAGCATTCAAGTATTCCGAGAACGAAAGAAATTTCTCTGATTTTGAGGTGAAATTCGTTCAGAATTCAGGCGTAACAATCATATATATATACATATATATATTATTCATCAGTTGAACCGTTTGTGAAGGAAAAAAATACCCAGAATTCCCAACTCGGCTATTCATTTGATCGAACATATCGAAATCATCAATGGCGACCGAAGGACTCTGTTATTCGACTCTTCATTGCGCCGTTAACAACAAAAACTCTCCATTCGGTAGCTCCAGCTCTCGGCGGCGGTCCCGAAATGGGATTTCGGTGGTTCCCAGCTCCGCCACCACCCGGAGAATTTTTTGCGGAGTAAAGGCTACCCGAATTCACCGTTTGATTGAGGAGCATGGGGTGGTTCTTATGCCCGGTTGCTTCGATTCTCTATCAGCTGCCATTGTTGAAAAAGTCGGGTTCCATGCCGGTTTTATCTCCGGTTATGCACTCTCTGCTTCCATCCTCGGGAAACCCGACTTCGGATTACTCACGTGAGTTTCAGCGTTTCTCTGTGCTTTGTGTTTGATTATTCATTGATGGAAGCCATATTCGAATTACATGACTAAATTAGCTGTTTTGTTTGCTCACTTGGGGAAATTTTATTTGCTCCTTCGGATGATTGTTTTGAGTTCTATTGGTTCTCTCTAATTAAAAATTTTCATGTTTAAACAAAATCGTCCGTAGTTGTAATTATGATGAACATGGTGGGTATGGTTGATTCAGGCCGCCGGAAATAGCTGAGAGGGCACGGTCTGTTTGCGCTGCCGCACCACTGATTCCAATCATTGCTGATGCCGGTAAAAGTTCTTACTCTAGATTTTTGATCTTTGTTATTCTTCTTTCTTAATACTTCTTATGTACAATGTAATTGCAACGGCATTTTTTTTTTTTGATTGATATGGTAGAAGTCCTTTTTTCCCAGTTGGACTGCGGAAATGCTTCATTTATATTTGCTTGTTTTTGCACTTTAGAATTTGGTTTTTCCGAGGAGACATTTGTAGAGCACTACAGAAGTAGTAAAGTACATGAAAGAGCAGTTTTCTGTGCTATGTTTCATATCTGTCTTTCTAAGAAACGGATGGTGACATTGGAGATGCTTAGTTAAGTACAGATTTGGCTAACTTTTTTTTAAACCACCACCACCACCACCACCAAACCCACCCCCAATTTCCCCTGGTTTAGCACACTCCTGCAGTTTGCACGTAGACAGGTGGTGAGGATTTGCCCTTGATGCTGCTTTACAGATGTATTTGTCGTGTGTGTGTGTGTGCGTGTGTGTGTGTGTGTGTGGGGTGGGGGTTCACAGGAATAATTATTACCTCCATCCCACAAGATCTCCCTTTTACAAACAGAATCCATTATTCTGAACTACCAGTGCTACTACGGTACTACCAGTTATTTCAATCAAACTTTTCAATTCAAAAGAAAGCAGTGGGGTCTATTAGCAGTAGTGATGAACTATCTGGTTTGCTTACCTTCGGTGTAATGGGTGTCTGGTTCTAGATTTGAAATCTGTCTTTAATGAAGTCTTCTCTTTCATAAGCAAGATTTTTGGTGACTTGTATGATATCTTGGTTCTGCAGTAAGTTTGCAAAGTGCTGATTAGTTTACAAGATGAACTAGGCTATTTGCTACTCCCTCCGTCCCATAATTATTGGCCAGTTTGGATTTTCATTTCTAGTTCAAATTGTACTAAAAATGAAATCTCAAACTGGACAATAATTTTGGGACAGAGGGAGTATAACTTATTCCCATAAAAGGCTTTGTACATTACGTGAAAAGTGAATCTTAATTTTTGGATTTAAAGGAATGAATTCAAAACTTTCTGATTGAATCCAAAAGTGCTCAGTTGAATTAAACCATGAGTATTTTCTGTTTTCACTTTAAATAAGGATTTACATTAAATACTTCTCATACAAACTGCCTCTAGGATGATACAAAGTATCTGTACTTAAGGTTTGGTTTGGAACGTGGATAATGTATTATTGTCCACTGAATTTCGATGGTTATGCAGACTGAACTGTACTTTCTTGCTTAGTCCATGAAGTTCTTTTCTTACGTTGATCAAGACATTTCTGAATCTTTGGAACATCAAGCTGAAACTATCTTATGAAATAAATATCTGTGGTAGGAGAATTCTTTTCAAGCTCTTCCATTGACTTTCAGTTTCTGTTGGAATGTTTGAGCTCTATAGGTTGGTTTTTTTGGTTGTATGATCTTCAGATACTGGTGGTGGGAATGCTCTAAATGTTCAGAGGACTGTCAAAGACTTGATTGCAGCAGGTGCTGCTGGCTGTTTTTTGGAGGTGACATTTAACATATTGATATTGAAGTTTGGGGGAGTCTTTCTCTCTTTGTCATGTCAATGTAAACTAATTTCCTCTTTCACTCCTCCAGGATCAGGCTTGGCCTAAGAAGTGTGGTAATTATTTCTGATCTTATTTTGTTGTCAAATTCGAGCCTGATTATCTGTGGAAAGTTTTTCCTTTGGAAATGTATTTTAGTAGTACTTACGAATTGTTTTCTGTGTATGCTTATCCAGGGCACATGCGTGGGAAACAGGTACCCTATCTTTGGCCGCTTTAAGAACTTTATTTCTCTTTGTTTCATGAATCCATTCAGAAGAAGATTAAACCCCCCAGTTTGTTTTTTGTGTACAGCTCCGGAAGAGAAATGGTTATTCTTTTTATCTTGATGATGTTTCTATTGAACTACCCAGTGTTTCTGCTTTGTGGCCTTTAGGTCATCCCCGCCGAGGAACATGCTGCGAAAATAGCATCTGCAAGAGATGCTATTGGGGATTCCGACTTTTTCCTTGTTGCGAGGACCGATGCACGTGCTACATCAGCTAAACATGGTCTCTCTGATGCCATTTATCGGGCTAATCTGTATATGGAGGTAATCAAATATGTCAGTGTAATATTTACTTTTCAGCAGTTTTTTCTGTGCGGTATTTGTTATGTGCATAGTTGTTATTGGATTTCATAAAACCTTGGAGGCAAATGATTTACCTAATTTTACCCCCTTAACAAAATCATCTCTTCCACACTTCCATATTGTGTTTTATGAAGCACTGTTGTATGCTAGTTGACGATAAATGCTTCTAACAAGTTAAACTTGTAACAAAATATGGCCATCATTGAATCTCATTACCCTGGAAGTCATCATTATTTAGATAGCAAATCATTCTGCACAAAAAAAGAAGAAGTTAATTTTAACCTCCAGATCGCAATGAAGTTAGGAATATATTGGGTATGTTGTTGTTTTCAAATATCTCTGTTTTTTCCCTTTTTTTCCCCTTCAGTTAATTTTTTAGGACTATTTATGCTTCATTTATAATGATTTTATACTTCAAGTTCAACATGGTCTGGTATAACATTTATTACCTGAAATACGTTTATCATTAGGGCACACTTATTGTTGTCTCCTAAAGTGACCATGTCTCCTAATAAATGCCGAGTGGTTGCATTCCGTAGCCACTGGAAACATTTTTCTCGAGAAAACATGCATAGTTTTAAATCATAATTCACCTGGTAATAGAAAATAACTTAAATTTGATGGACTAATGTATGAATATATGTATGGTTTAGTTTCTGCAATCAGAAAAGTCGAATCTTGGAACTGCAAAAATGACGTAAGTCTGAGTCTGGGGCTTTTTGCAACAAAAAGATAACCATACTGATCAACCGCACCATACTTTCATTTGATGTTACTTGAGAGCAGTATGGTGTCTTGGTGCTTATATTAAAAAGTGAAAACAAGAAGAGCAGATAACTGACGGTCATGATCCTTCAGGAGGTTATTTTGTGTATTTTGATTGTTATAAGTGTTCTGTTTATAATATTGTGCGTACAGGCTGGGGCTGATGCCAGCTTTGTGGAGGCTCCTAGAGATGATGAGGAGCTCAAAGAAATCGGACGGCAAACAAAAGGATACCGAGTCTGTAACATGATTGAAGGCGGCATTACACCCTTGCATACACCAGAGGAGCTCAAGGCCATGGGTTTTCACTTGATAGTTCATCCATTAACAGCCCTTTACGCTTCCGCCCGTGCAATGGTTGACACACTGAAGATACTGAAGAATGATGGATCTACGAAAGATCAACTAGACAAGATGGCAACCTTTCAGGAATTTAACCAGCTGGTCAATTTGGACGCCTGGTTTGAGCTCGAAGCTCGTTACGCGAATCTGAAAAGTGTTGCAAGAGAATGAAACCTAATAGTTTTTTGAAGCGAAAACATCTGTAGCTCTAATAGATGCAGGACAGTCTTCTTTCTTTCTCATACCATTTTTGTAGTCATTGGATACTCATTGTTGCAGAGATATCTTGAAAGTCTTCAGATTTTGAACTGATTTCTCCTCTATCTTTCATTTTGGATTTTTGTCTCTTGTACCTTCAAATCAGAACTCAAGTAATCTGGGTCGTTGTTGCATATATGCCTTTACTTTGGCCCAACGGATTAGAGTGACTGTGAAGGCCAACAAAACGGACCAACTTTGGGCTTAAGGAAGGAGATAATTCAAGATCAACGACCATACAAAAAGCAGGCTAACGTCGTAGATCTTTCATACTCATTTTTCTTAATTGCTTCTAGTTTTTCCCGGAAACAACAATTAATTAACACTTACATATGCGGATGGGGACAATATTCATTATTCTATAACCATAAATCGGGTGTTCGAATACTAATATAAGTATTATTTCTCTTAATCAGCTCTATGTTAAAAAGAAAAAAGAATTGTTTTCCACCAATTAATATTAAGTAAAAAAAACCCATTAGTTAGTATTACATAAAGTTATGGAAATTATTTTCTAAACCACTAGGTCATTTCTGTACATTTTCATTGTGAGGCGTATAAAGTTGCACCACCGCATTTCAAAACTTGCACCAAGCTTTTCCGCTTTTCTCCTTTGTTTTGTATTTTCCAAAGTTTTTATCCGATATCATTTAATGTTAATTAGTCTCAAAATATAAATATAGATTAATGACTTATTATTTAAGAAGAATAACTAGAAATTTTATTTTACAATAGAGGGGAGTACTATCCTTAAAACTCCACAAGCTACAAAAAGTAAAAATATTAAACAATCTATGTGGATATTGTTATCTGAACTTAACTTTTGTAAACTACATATAGGTTTTGGTAGCTTTTGGAGGATCACAACAACAGAAAGGGACATAGGAGATGCTACCAAATCTCCTAGGAACGTACCCCTAAACATATTTTACTTGGTATTATGTTGACAATTCTTGTCGCACTTGATTCACTTAAAAATTTTATTTTATCGTAGAGCAGTAAGAGACGGCAAATGTCCCCAAATTATAACTTAGAAGTTGAAATCAAATTTTTGTACATTACTTCCCTTCCAAAGAAAAAAAACTTCAATTTATTATATTATTTTAATTCAATAATCGAACTATTTTTCTAAGACGAATAAATAAGTGGTGAAATCGACCTAATACAAAAACAAAGACTTGAGAAAAGGCGAGACAAAATAAATCTTGGTCCTAGTTAATCATTCATCCCTTCCATATCATTCATCTCATCTCTCAATAAACCCCCCTTTTTTTTTTCCCTCTTGGAAAAGAAGCCTGCCATGGATAGAGAACAAGAAGAGATGCAATTTTTAGGCCTCTTTGGGATTTATGTTGAAGCTTACAATCTGGTTTTCAGATGGAGAAAAATATTCAGCCAAATCACTCTTTCTTTGATCTTTCCCTTATCCTTTATTTTCTTAGCTCATCTTGAAATCTCCCATCAGTTGAGCCTCAAAATCTCATACAATGAAATCCAGTTAGAAGACACTCAATCAGGCACACAACAAAAAGAGAGGCTCCATCATCTGGTCACATCAGAATTCGCAATCCTATGCCTTTTTAAACTCGTTTACTTCACATTTTTTCTCGTGTTTTCTCTCCTTTCCACGGCCGCCGTGGTTTACACGATCGCCTGTATTTACACCGGCCACGAAATCGCCTTCAAGAAGGTCATGAGTGTCGTTCCAAAGGTTTGGAAAAGGCTAATGGTCACTTTCTTGTGTACTTTTCTAGCCTTCTTACTATATAATTTTGTTGCTATCATACTCCTTGTTATCTTCACCTTTGCCCTTGGAGATACGGTCATTGGAGCAATTTTTATAACCATTTTGTTGATTTTGTATGTTGTTGGATTTTTGTACATGTCCATAATTTGGCAACTGGCAAGTGTTGTTTCTGTTTTGGAAGATTCATATGGGATCAAAGCAATGATGAAAAGCAAGGAATTGATCAAAGGGAAGGTGTTGATTTCAATAATCATATTCTTCAAGCTGAATTTGGGAATGGCTGTGATTCAATTGTTGTTTGATTTCTATGTCATTCATGGTGGTAGTTGGAGACTTGGATTATTGCATAGAATTGGATTTGGGATTCTTTGCTTTCTGTTGCTTTTCAAGTTGATATTGTTTGGATTAGTGATCCAAACAATTATTTACTTTGTTTGCAAGTCATATCACCATGAAAACATTGACAAATCAGTACTTTCTGATCATCTTGAGGAGTATTTGGGAGATTATGTGCCTTTGAAGGCCAAGGATGTACAACTTGAGGAATATGATCAGGCTTGATTATGGGATCGATTGAGGTTGTACTTTTTATAGAATTGTAATTCTTTTCCTTTTCTTTTTTTACTTCTACGTAATTAACTTGTGTACGAAAAATTATAATTACAAATCGCCCATAGATCATAACAAATTACTTTATCAATTGAAAAATAGTCTACTTTATTGTATTATTTTAGTTTAAGAAATATATATTTTTCTACAAATGGTTCTTTCAAATCTCTCTCATAAGCTGGAAATGACATTGGAATAAATTGGGGAGAGATAACACAACTATATATGATATGTTTTGTCGGTAAAATCCAAATGAGTATTATTTTTTAAATAAGAGCTAGCATGTACGCTACGTACTAACCTGAAACAAAAATGGGTCATTTATCAATACGCCAAGTAGAGTAGAACGTGACGTCCTTTTTGTATATAAAGAAAGGGAAATGAGCCTTTTCATCCCAAGGATTGAGCCACATCATTTAAAACATTCCAAAGTTTAAAAGCATGCTATTTTTATCCCAAATTTTTAAAAAATATGTAATATTAGGACATTTATCAATTTTTCAAGTTATTCACGGCGATATTTCATTCAGTTTCTTTTCTCGTATTTTTTTTAGTCAAAAAAGTTTAATACTTGCGTTTGGTAAATTTGGTCTATGCCAAGCAAAAAAGTTGCATGCCCCTGCATCAATTACAACACTAATTTTAATAATGATGCTACATATTTAAAAAAGTAAATAAAATAGGCTTACTTTCTAATTAGGACACACACAAAACCTTTCATGATTGTTATCAATCTAGAAGGTGAATCTTGGATTTTTTTTTTCTTTTTCTAAGCAAGGGAAGAATGGATGATGTGAAGACCAAATTAGATTTAGCTATTTTCTTATAAGGTGTGAGTTAGTGGAACGTGTTAAATGATTAAAAGAATTGGTGAGGAGAAACATAATAAAGTACCACCACTAATTAATTAACTAGAGTTAAAAATTTAACGAATATCCTAATATAACATGTTTTTAAAAAGTTTAGGGATGTAAATGGCGTGTTCTTAAACTTTGGGATGTTTTGGATAGTGTGACCCAAACTTTGGGATGAAAAGACCCATTTTCCCTATAAGGAAAACGATCAAAGTTACTTTACTCTCCAAAAAGGGATTTTTTTTTTTCATATTTGCAGGGTGTCCACCGTCGATAATAGTGACTAATCCCCCTCGCTGAATTGTAGGCACCTCAAAGGGTGGGACAGTGGCCAAAATATTTAAGGTCAGTTGTCCCACCCATTGAGAAGATAAAACAAAGATAAAACATGTTGAATGTTGACTCTTTTTGAAAAAATTGAGGCAAATTATGTACTCCCTCCGTCCTATAATTATTGTCCAATTTGGGTTTTCATTTCTAGTTCAAAATTATACTAAAAGTAAAATCTCAATTCGACAATAATTTTGGGACAGAAAGAGTATATATATATATATATATATATATATATATATATATATATAGATATTTTTTGATAAACGCAAATTATGCATATTCTTTGCTTGAGAAGAAATAGCTAGGCCTGTTTAAATCGTTTTAAATTTTGAAAAAATTTATGGAGGAATAAAAAATGACGGAGAGAATATAAATTCTCAATTTTGCAAATTATTTTGTATTCTTCAATTTTGCAAATTATTATGTACTCAAATTCTTAAATAATTTTGAACATTAATTTCACATGGATATCCGTTAAACGTGACAGAACTTTCGATTATATTGAAACATTAATTTCACATGGAGGGGTGATAGAAATTTCGATCTATGCGAATGGAAAACAATTGATTTAATTTAAACTTAACATTTGAACAGTTGATATCCCTTCTTCTCGTGTATAATCGATACAAACCTGTTTCTGACAATTATTTTTTATGTATAAACAGCTCATTCCGTTCCAATTTAATATTGTGCTTTGTGATTAGTATCATTTTTTTAGTTAAATCGAGGACGGTACCTAATAAGCATTATATGTTTTCATTAATTTAAAAAAGTGAAATTCACAGACAATTTAAGACTTACCTAAATGAAGAGATTGTCGTAGATTTTTTTTTTTGTTTTTTCTAGAAATTTCAAGACAACTCTACTTTAAAACAATCTATTTAAGAGACTAGTTCACAAAGATTATATTAAAGCTCTATGGCAGCTCTATTTAATCATGTAACTAAGAGACTGGCTCACAAAGATTTTATAAAATCACAAAACCTTCTAATTACTTTTATATTGAAAGAAAAGAAATGAATATAGATTCTTATCTATTAATAGAATTTTATATTTATCTTTGTTCTGTATCTACTCTATACTTCCTATCTAATAGGAAGATGTGAAAATAATCTTTGATCCAAGTACGAATACCTTGCAACGGTCTTGGAAATTCAATAGTCTATCAAGTTGAACTATTAAATTAGGAAAGGAAACACTACTCATGTTTTTCAGTTAGCTAGATTTGAATATTCATGTTAAAATTTATCTAGCTAGGCTCAAAACACATGTTCCTGAAGATGGCGCTAGTGAAAAGTTTTCCTAGGGCTGAATGATCCTTTCTTCTTCTTCTTCTCATTTTCTTTTTTTTTTTTTTAATTTTTTTTGGTGAAAAAAATAAATTTTTTCTTGAACAAAAGTTACAACATTCTAAAGATCTGTAATGATCAGTTAGTGTCAAGTTTTCTTTTTGTTCTTCGTATTTTAATTATGGAATAGAACCTGAAAAATGTTTGGTTAACATCGAGGGCAATGTGAATCCAGTCATCTCCTAAGTTAGAAATAGATCAGCCGGTTACCAAACTCTGTCCAATTGGTGCTAATTGATTTCTAGTTCTCTTTAATGATTTATTATGTGTTTTCAAACAAAAAATTTTAAAAATAAACTTACCGCGACCTATACTTCATAATTAGATATTAAATTTTACTTTTCTGCCTTCCAAAAAATTTCAAAAGTGAAAAAACCATTTCGTAAATTTTAGCTGTCAACCTTAGGGCCAATAAAATTAAGGAGCTAATATCAAGCAAAATTTCTCGTTAAAGGTAGTACTTTTCCCCTAAATAACTACTTTTTTTTTTGGTTAAAGTGAAATACTTTTTATTAACTAATATTGACCGGTGAAAAATTCACCTCAATTATACTACTATAAAAACCTCTCCCTTGACAACTTTTCTCTTCAGTCGATAATTATTAACCTTCTGCACCTGCCATGAGGTAAATAACGTAGACTCTGCCGGGTAACATTTTCTCGGTATACAAACACAATTTTGTAACATTAATTTCACATGGAGTTCTGTTAAACAAATTAGTTCATCCTGAAACCCTCCAAAACCCCTCTAGAAAATTCTTTTCTTCACAAGATAATTTCTAAAATGGAGGAAATTTCAACAGTAGTTTTGGTCATTGGAGCTGGCCCGGCCGGTCTAGCGACATCTGCATGCCTAAATGAACGAGGAATCAACAACATTGTTCTCGAAAGAGAAGATTGTTGCGCTTCCTTGTGGAAGAAACGCGCTTACGACCGCCTCAAACTTCATTTGGCTAAGGAATTTTGCCAGCTCCCTCACTTGCCGTTCCCTCCTCGTACACGAACTTTCGTGAAAAGGAATAATTTCATTGGCTACTTGGATAATTACGCGAAAACTTTTCGCGTAAATCCTTCCTATTACAGGATTGTTAGGTCTGCGTCTTTCGACTCGAAAAGGAAGAAATGGATTGTTAGGGCACAAAATACTGACAATGGGTCGAAAGAAATCTACTCGGCTCGATTCCTTGTTGTTGCGACTGGAGAGAATAGTGAAGGGATTGTTCCGAAAATCCCTGGAGTTGATAGTTTCCCTGGGGTGTCCATGCATTCTAGCCATTACCAAAATGGCAGAGATTTTGCGAACAAAAAAGTTTTGGTTGTTGGTTCTGGGAATTCCGGCATGGAAATTGCTTATGATTTGTCGGATTCCGGTGCTACCACCTCAATTACTGTTCGCAAACCGGTAACTTTCTTTATACATGTCATCTCCTTTAAACTCGACTTTCTTAATTCGAAAATTTTTTTCGAAAGATTGACAATATGGATTGTCTTAATTTTATTAAAGGAATGTAATAAAAATATCACCATGTATTTAAACAAACAATTTAGTGACTAGTCAGGGAACCAATTTTTTTTTTAATTTTCATTATTGTAGGAAATAAAATATATTACTAATGAGAATTGATCAATCTTTTTATTTATTTATTTATTTTTGGTTGCAGGTCCATGTTCTATCAAAAGAAATGGTATTCATAGGAATGAAATTGTTGAAGCACCTGCCAGTAAATCTAGTCGACAAAGCTGTAGTTCGACTAAGCAAATTACGTCATGGAAATCTTGCGAAATATGGACTTGAAAGGCCAAAACTTGGACCTTTTCTTATGAAATTTTTGACCGGACGATCTCCGGTCATTGATGTGGGGACGATCAAAAAAATTAAAAAGGGCGACATTAAGGTAAAAAAAAAAAACTATATATATAGATTGCCAAAATTATTTACTATATTGTTTTGAGACTTACCTGACAAAATTAACTATCGTTTGTCGTTGTTAATTTAATTAATTAATTTATTTTGGCCAGGTTGTACGAGCTGGAATAAAAGAGATTGATGGATTTAGCGTAAAATTTACTAACGGCGTGAGGGAAGATTTCGACGCCATCGTTTTTGCTACTGGCTATAAAAGTACGGTTGGGAGATGGTTGAAGGATGATTCAAGACTGTTCAATGAAGATGGGATGCCTGGGAAAAAGAAACCTAATCATTGGAAGGGAGAAGATGGTCTTTATTGTGCTGGTTTTGGAAGATTGGGTCTTTTTGGAATCTCCAATGATGCTATGATCATAGCCTCAAATATTAATTCCATTTTGAGGAATGAGAGAACCGATGCTCCATCAAAGGGAAAATTAAATTAAACGTAGAGCAGGAATAATTAAATTGGATGGAATTGGGTTGAAACTATGAGTTATCCTAAGTTGTTCATTCAATATGATTTTTTTGGGTCAGCAATAAAAATTTTCCTATGATATTAATATTAATCAGCATCTTCCTTACGTTTGGTTCTAAAAGGTTTCCCACCTCTTTCAACTACTAATCAATTTTATCTTTTTTGAAACTATCAAATCCCGGCATTAATGTCCCAAGGCATCACAATAAGAATGAACTCCATTAAAATGAATTTATTTTTTCTGTAAATAATTATTCTCTTTATTAAACCATTACACAAATTGAATTGGAAACTCTTATATTTTTGTTAGGCTTAAACCACTTTAGATGCAAGGTATGTTTTGAAAACGAATCAGAATGCAAACCGATAACATGGTTGGGTCATTGGGTTGACCGAGTTGACAGTACGATCGGCTTTTAAAACCAGAGAAAATCGATAAATTTTTTAAAAAGAAAATAGGTTCAACCAGTCTTAGTTCCCATTCGAGCCGCCATTCTGTCTGGATTTGACTAAGTCTGACACGGTTTCTACTTATCCTGTTTTTATAAAAATAAGAATGGGAAGGCTTCCAATTCTCTGGCCAACCGGTTCTACTACCCGGTACGGACCATTTTTCAAAATGTATGTCGCAATTTGTAATAGGAAGTTCGCTAGACATGCCTTACTTTGGTGAGACGTGAAGATGTACTAGGTTAATAATTGTTCCAAAAAATCATTCCCGAATACGATATTCTTATTTTAAAAAGAAAATGCATACATTGAATTGTCCAAATACCATTTCACTGTGAACATTCTTGTTTAAAGTGATGATTTATCACTTGATATAAAAAAAGATCTTGGCTAAGTCGTGAGAGTACTGTTAAAAAGTACATTAGGTGTTCGGATCGGATCCCTTTTCGGTGGAGTTATTATAAAGGGTTAATAATGTTTGTAATATGTTTCGAGGATGTTAATTAGGTATCCAAATCCCTTATTGATTATATTTTGATCCCTAATTATTTGTAAAACCTAAACCTACACGCCAAAATCATTAGGTTAGTTGGATTGGCACCCTATGGCAGAGACGAAGGGCAGCTGGTAAGTGAAGGAGTGAGCATATTGAAAACAGATTGAATGGTCGTTAATGAGTGGCTTGTCATAGTTAACAAAGCAGTAATCAAAACTAAGTCGTTTGAAAATTTTAGGGTTATGAATCGGGCTAGGTTTTTGGATTTTGAGGCCTTGGGTTTAAGATTTATGTATTTGTTTTGTTAGAGGTGGTTTAACTAATTTGAAGCAATATTTAAATCTAATGATTAATAAAGAATTCGAAACAAGGCACCGTCTTAAGAATTTTGAAGAACAAAATCTTGTTTTCAAGGAAAGACGAAAACAAAATGGTTGTTGTAAGGATAGATTAAATAGCAATAATGTTTTCTTTTGTATTGTATTTTTGTTAAATTTGGAAATTTTGTTTACTGTTATTGAGAATTTTCATTTTGCTTGACATACCTCCTTCAATACAACATATACATTAAATGTAATATTGTACTAGCTTTATGCGAGCAAGTCTTATTTTTAAAACTGACGGGGTAAGTGACTTCCATTTCATGAGATTATACTAGCTTTTCCTTCAAAGCATATATCAGTGGGATGTTGATATACAAACTTTCCAAGTTGTGAATAAATCTTGCAGCTCCTGCATCCAAGTCCTTCTTCTTTGGCTTTCTGAGTGGACAAGGTGGTGTAGAATATTTCCATTTTGGCTTCTGAGAGGCTGGTTGTTGCGCTTCATCCACTGGTGGCTCTTTGGTCACCTCTACTTCAGGTTCATCTTTTGTTTCTTCTTCTGCTACAATTTCTGGGATGATAGATTCAATAGTTGATTTCATAGCACTTGGGACAGTCTTCTTCCACCACTTCTGGGTGTAACACCCTTAGCTTGTTCCTGGTTGCTCATTCCTTGATTTTCCACAGTATCACTAGGAAAGCTTCCTGATGGTCTTTCTACAACTTGCTTGGCTAGCTGAGCAATGGCGATTACCATGTTTCTATGAGCAGTTGCTAGGGTCTTCATCATGTTTTCATCTCAGTCCATTCATCCTCCTTGATAAAGTGTTGCTGATTTTGAAAACCAGAAGGGATGCTTGGTCTCTGATAACCTTCTTGGTGTTGGTTTTTGTTCCAATTTGCATTGGATTGGCCTCTCCCGTTGTTATAGTGGTTGAAATTGTTGAAACCTCCAGCATTGCCTTGCTTGACAAACTAAACAGCTTCAAACTTTGAAGGGAAATTCTCATAGCTATGAGCTCCTACACACAACTCATATGAGTCAGAATTCGACTTGGCTAAGTCAGGTCTCAGCTTTGTAAGTTCATTAGTTCATTACCCATAGTTGCAATCTATGCTTGGAAGTGAGTGTTTGCATCTAACTACATAATTCCACCTTTCTTCACTACGAATCTGTGGTTTGTTTGCCATTTAAAATGATTCGTGGCCATGTTATCCAACAGTTGTGTAGCTTCATCAACCATCCTCATCATGAAAACTCCATCAGATGCAGAATCTAGCGAGTCTTTAGATGACTGTGTCAATATCCATTGTAGAAGATACCAAACTACACATGCTCCTCATTACCATGCTATTGACACTTCCCCAACATCTCCTTGAATCTTTCCCATGTCTCATACATGGTCTCACGTCCATTCTACTGAAAAGTCATGATTGAAGTCTTGTAATGTGCAGCCTTGAAAAGTGGAAAGAATTTTATCTCAAATGCTTGACTCAGCTCATTCCAATATTAAATTGAATTGCTGGGCAGAGTGTGGAGCCATGTCTGAGCCTTGTCCTGCAAAGTAAATGGAAATGGCCTTAAATTAACATCATCACCAGACAATCCCTGATTTTGAATGTGCTAGACAGTCGAAGGAAAGTCCGAATGTGATCATTTGGATCGTCATTGGCTAATCCATGGGAAGGACACGTTGCTTGAAACTATTGAATCATAGTGAATTTTAACTCAAAGTTGTTAGTTTCAACATCAGGGAAAACCAGAGGAGATTCAATTTCCCAATCTAGTGGAATCAAATTGTCTTTAAAGAGTCTCCATTTCCCTGATTATCCAATGTTCATGCTCCATTTCCTCAGACTCAGACTATTGTTGCTCTTCCGGAATTTGTCTTCTCCTTAAAGCTCGAGCTTTTCTAGCTGTAGCTTTGATTTCAGGGTCAAACAACAAAGTACTTGAGGGATTTGTTCTGGTCATACACCAAGAAACCAAAAATCAAAACAACATCTAAAAACTAAAATTAAAAATCAAAAGAAAAGAGAAAAAAGAAAAACAAAAATTATGAACTAAGAGATTTCAAGGATGTTTTACGCTGCCTCTGACAACGGCGCCACTTTTCTATTCATAGAATATATATGCTGTCGTCAAGTTGCCAGAAAAAAAAATTATTAACCGACTACTACTAGTTAGCGATAAGTTGGGTCGATCCACAGGGACAAACGAACAACCTAAGAGTCGCTTACATCGTAGCAAACTAAACTAACAAAATGTAAAGTCAAAAGAAAAGATGACCGCTCACGTGAGTGGTGTCAACACTCTCATAAATGGTATCCTAAATGGATAGGTAGACAATGGGGAAAAGAGTGACTCACGCGAGTGGATTCATTGCTTGATGAGAAGCGAACATAGTCGCTATCTCATATGATTTCACATGATTTGTATTTTGTTTTGACTCATTTCTTTGGGATTTATTGAACTAAAATTGCAAATATCTCATGTTTCATGTTTTATCATTGTAGGGTGAGTAAATGACATAAAAAATTACGAAATGGAGAAAAATGTTAGAAAATGGCCGAAACTTCACATGTGTTGGTTGAGTTAAATAAGCTAGATTTGAGGACTCGTAACTTGAGATAGGAGTCTCTGTTTATAATGAACAACATATGCTTGGGAAGCCCAATAAAGAGCTAAAACTGCCATGAACAACACTGCTCCAAATTTAGAAGGTAAAAAGACCAAAAATGCAGTTGAATTTCTTTCGTCAGAACTGTCCAATATTCTGCAGAAACTTCAGCAAGAAGTAGCCAACTTTTAGAGGTCACAACTTGAAATCCAGAGCTCGGATTGGGAAGTTCTTTATATGGTTGTGAAGCCGCAGGAATAGGCTACAACTTCTCTTCAGATATCAACTCCAAATTCCGGCTGGAAATTGATAAAACAAGGCAATGAAATATGTCACTCACGGCTGAATGTCTTAAAATTCTAGCAAGCATGGAGGAATTAGACTACCGTGATAAGGACCCGATTGGAACCGAAAATTATGGTCAAAGTCATGAAAATTGAGAGGCAAATGTTATTGGACTTGAGAGTGTTTGAGCGAAAATAATCAGTAGAATAACCGATATGCGCTTAAACAGTTTCAGACGAAGGTGTGTAATTCGCAAAGTGTGATATTTGGCAAAGTGCGAGAAAAGCTCAATAGAAGGAACGAAAAATACTGAATAAAGGCTAATCGCTGTGAACTTGATTAAAGTAAACAAAATACAATGAAGTACATCAGGATAAGGAAAGTACTTGCGTAAAAGAACAAAAGGGTGTTTAAAAAGAAGAATTTGTAAAGAAAAGACAGCTTTTGCAGCTTGTGATTTTTGTTTGTTGATGATGAGTTGTGTTGTGCGTAAAACCCTAGCTCTCTTTACATAGGTTTTTGCAATTGATCCGAGTCAGTGCAATCACCTGATTCCTAGTTGGTTTCGGTGTCCTTGTTTCCGATTTGTATTCTCAATCGAATTTTATTTCCAAATTTGATTTCAATATTATGTGCGCTCCAACTGGACTCCTTTTTCCGCTTTGGATTGGTGTGTCGTGTCGAGCGGGTTGGGCCGAGACATGACTTTTGTTGGGCCGACACAATTTAGCGAAATTGGTGTCAACAAAAGCTCCCCCAAGGCACAACTCATTTACTCGGTGTGGTGTACCTTTGAGTATC